GGCATGAGGACGGTCGCGGGGAGACGAACGCGGCCCGTGGGTCCGTAGCCTGCGTCGCGCCGGGGACAAAGGTGCGTGTCTTTGTCGGGACCGGGCTCTCACACAAGCCGAGCTGTAGTTTGACACTTTTGGAGAAGTTGGGAGCCGGTGGTTGTGACAACCGGAAGGCAGATGCCAGTCGTAGTGTCAATACGTGGAAACTTAAGCTGTTGAGTAGGAACTAGAAACAGTTCAGCACAGCGACAGCCCAAACGTCAAATTGCAGATAGAAAAGAATAAATTTTAGAAAGGTCCCATTCCCAGTTGCAGACTCCGAAGATTCTAAGTCAAGGGTTGACGTAACCTAGAACCTAGACGTTTCTTGGGTGGCCGCCTACTGAAAAGGTGGCGGCCCAGGGCTCCCCGAGGCGATTTTCGTGTGGAGACTTGGGTGTCTGAGGCGCGGGGGTTAGCGAACTGGCTTGTGCACAGCCTGGCTTTTCAGCAGAGCTCAGTTTCCCTAAAGCACTGTCAGTTATAGGAACTGCCATTTACTGTTTTGTTTTAAAGACAGACCTGATCATTTATATTTATGATTCCAGGAAATAATTCCCTAGGATTCAACACAAGTTTCTGATTTTAAAACTCTTGAGGAATGGAGGGATATTTTAATGACTTGATAACAATATGAATTTTAAGTTAACATTACTTTGGGATTAGAGGCATTTCTGTTGGAGTCAGGAACAGGGCAAAGAATGTTTTGTCTAGTACTATCTTGGAAGTTTTAGCCAATGCAATAAGACATGAAACAACAACATAATTTTTCAGAAAGAAGACAACATTCTCATTTCTGTGGATGACAGGATAGCCTATTTTTAAATGAAGAGGGAAACCATTAAAATAAGAGTTTAGTAAAGAGACTAATTACAAAATCGTAATTACAAAATCTAATTACTAATTTTGTAATTAGTAATTACTAATTTAGCACACAGAATTCAGTTTTTCTGTGTTTCACCAATGACCAATTTGAAAATATAGTAATTAAGAAAATGTACAGCAAAAAATACATCATTCCTGGGAATAACCTGAAATAACAAAAGGAGGCTAACATTTCTTGGATAACATTAGTTTTTTAAGAGGGACTTTTTTTTTTTTTTTGTAGAATACTGTGCTTTTACTTAGAATAAGATTTAGCTATTTAAGGTGAGTACAGGCATACCTTGTTTTATTGCACTTCACTTTATTGCCCTTCACAGATGTTGCGTTTTTTACAAATTGAAGGCAAGATCCTCCACCAGCAAAAAGATTACAGCTCGCTTTACTGTGGTAGTCTGGAACTGAACCTGCAATATCTCCGAGGTATACATGTATTTAAATACTTAGCTTTTCTTAAGACTATACGTTTTACTGATAAATCTGGTTTTACTTACAAATATAAGAATGTTTATATAACATTCTTCATCTGCGAAGCTTCAATTAAGGCACCAGTTTAACAAATTAAATTCTCCTAAACAATGAGCTCTTTTTACAAAGATAAATTCCCTTAAATGTTTTAAATCGCATTTAAAGTTTTATATACTTAGTCTCTGCAATACTTCAAATTTCTAGAACAGTGAACTTATAAACCTAATAGTAAAATCTTTTCAAGGACTTAAGTCTTATAAGTCAAATAAGTGTGTAAATGAAGTCAGGTTCTTTTAAATGTACACTTTGAAACTTATTTCAAATTAAAATTGTAAGTCTGACGTTATTCATTAATGACTGATTCTCTTAAATGTAACTGATGTAAATGTTTCACATGACTTAGTAACAAGTAGTATCAGTTATGATGATTATAAAAATGCAAAATCTAAGTGTTAATATGCTGTAGGTTTGATTTACTTTATTTCCTTGTATTATATCTATAACTTCTCAGGCCTGCAAAGTCACTTAAACAACTTAAGAGAAGCAGTTTTACCACATAGGTGGACTGAAGTTACAGTGTCTAAAATTTGGGCCAGTTTAAGGTTACATTTTTAAATTAGTGCCTCAGTAGGGACAGGACCTGGTTGCCACTTCTAGGATGACCTTCCTGCATCCCATCAGTTACCTTGCAGATTCTCTTATCCTGAGACCTTGCCTGCTCTTGTCAGTAGGGGACTTTCTTGTCAGTAGGAGACTTTTAAGCCTTCAAGCTTCAGCTGAAATTTATTTTCACAACCCAGTGCATCACAATGTCCTGGGGGCCTTGGTTTCTTTTAGAGGAATTTCAAAATCTTAGTGCACGATGGTCTTTTTGCACCACCAACCTGTTTTGCTGCTAATCACTTTGTTGTCTAGTTAGAATTATATTAACTCTTTTTAAAAAATATATATTTTATTGATTTTTTACAGAGAGGAAGGGAGAGGGATAGAGAGTTAGAAACATCGATGAGAGAGACACATCGATCAGCTGCCTCCTGCACACTCCCTACTGGGTATGTGCCCGCAACCAAGGTACATGCCCTTGATCGGAATCGAACCTGGGACCCTTGAGTCCACAGGCCGACGCTCTATCCATTGAGCCAAACCGGTTAGGGCATATATTAACTCTTTTACATATTTTACTTTCTTGTCTGGTTTTTATAGATCACAGTTTTATGGTCATAACAGAAAGAATGAATATTGCATTTACTATATAAATATCCATACACATATATGGATATAGATAAACACATATATATACTGTATATAAACCTTTCTGAATTAATTCATATTTATAATTCATTTACAGTCAAAATGCAGTGAGCTTTTTGGGGGAAACGTATCAAAATGATTCTAAAATTGATCTGAAGTAATAAACAGGCTGGAATAGCCAAGTATTACTTTAATTACTATATATTTAAATAATTTTTAATTATTGATTTTAGAGAGAGGAAGGGAAGGACAGAGGGAAAGGGGGGGGGGAGAGAGAGAGAGAGACAGACAGACAGACAGACAGACATTGAATTGTTCTACCCATTTATGCATCCATTGGTTGACTTTTATGTGCCCTGACCGTGGATCAAACTCACAACCTTGGCGCATCAGAATGATGCTCCAACCAACTGAGCTATCCACTTAGAGCAGCCAAGTATTACTTTTAAAAGAATAATAATAAAGATGAATTTAAAATTCAAGATATAAAAATATACCATAACATTTCTCAAGATAGAGTGGTTCTAGATAATAGATTGAAATACAGGATGAATTTCAGAAATAGACCTTAAGATATCCAAATTGTTGTATAAGATATATAGATATATATATATACCAGATCAGCAGGGAAAAGAGGATTATTTAGTGATTGATGCTGGGAAGAAACCAAGGTTAGTTAGAGCCTCACCTTTCACCTTATAGCATACTAAATTCAACTTGGGTTAGAGTTCATTGTGAAAATTGTATCTGTGAAAGACTGGATAAGTAAAGTCTAATATAAGAATGCCTAGTTGAAGAAGGACATTCTAGGGACAAAAGAAATGGGAAAAGCCATAGGGAAAAGAGCCTAGTTTTAACTGCATGAAAAGTTTAAATTTCCTTCATCATACTTCACTCTAAGCAAAATTAAATATAAATAACAATGAAGGAAATGTATGAGAG